GACCTCCTACCTTCCCAAGCATGATGTCCTTCTCCAAGGAATAGCCTCTCCTAGCAACATGCTCAAAGTATGTGAGATAAAGTTTTATCAATTTTGCCTCCAAGGAACACTTGGCTTACAACGCCTCCAAGACACATCTGTTCTTTTGGCAGTCCATGGGCTATCTATGAGATCAAGTTGCTTTATTGTGTGTTTTAATTCTTAAGTATCTCTGTTGAGTTTCTGATAGTTCTATCTATTCTTGAGAGTGTTGTACTGAAGTCTTCAACTACTATAGTGGTATTGTCTATTTTCTTTTTCCGTTTTTTTAATGTGTATTTTTTTATATTTTGCAGCTCTATCATTTGGTGAACAGATATTACTGTTATGTTCTCTTGTTCTATTGACTCTTTAAGCATTATGTAGTGACCTTCCTCATCATTTGTGATGGTTTTTGCATTGAAATCTATTTTATCAGAGATTAATTTTGTTTCTCCTGCTTTTTCCTAGTTATTTGCTTAGCATATTTTTTCCACCCTTTTTTTTTTAACTCCTTTTTTACCTTCACTTTTCTGTTGAAGACAGGATAGTGATGGGTTTTGGCTTTTTAAATCCAATGTGCAATTCTTTTTCTCTTCAATGGTGTCTTTAAGCCATTCACATTTAGTGTAATTATTGAGAGACAAAGTTTTATTGCTATCATGCTGTTGCTGCTTAATATGGTCCATCCTGCTTTTTATGGCACCTCTTTAAAGAGGATGTCTTTCAGTGTTTCCGGCAATGCTGGTCTTGTTTTTACAAACTCCCTTAGGTTCTGCTTTTCTGAGAAAATCTTGATCTCTCCTCTGTATTTGATGAAAAGTTTTGACAGCGTTTTCTTTGCATGTTGATTTATGTCATTCCACTGTCTTCTTGCTTGCATGGTTTCTGCTGAGAAATTGGCACTTAATTTTCTTTGCTCTCCCTTAGAGGTTACTCTTTCTTTCTCTATAGCTGCTTTCAGAATTCTCTCACGTTTGGTTCTGGCAAATTTGACTATGATATGCCTTGGTGTTTTTCTTTTGGGGTCTATTTTACATGGTATTTGTTTGGCTTCTCAAATACATATTATCTCATTCTTCTAGTAATTCTTCCACAACTTTCTCAGTGCCTTTACTGGCTTCTTTCTGTTCTGAGATTCCGATGATGTGCATGTTATTTCTCTTGATGGTGTTCCACATTATTCTTCGGTTTTCTTCTTTTTTCCTTCCTTTTGGATTCTGCTTTTTGTTCTAGCAGATCAGTGGTGACAATTCTATCTTCTATTTAGCTGGTTCTGTGTTCCATTTCTTCAACTCTCCAACAGGTTGACAACATCTGAAACAATGGTCCTGATATTCTTGATTGTGATTTCTTGTTTTTCCAGAGTGTCTAATACCTCATTTATTTATTTATTTTTTTTTAATTTGACTTGTGTGGGATTTTTTTTTTAAGTTCCTCTTGGTCTTTTTGCTTGCAGAGTCCTGTAATTCTTTACTTTTGTCTTTTACCCACTGAAAATATTCAATCATCGTTCTTTTGAATTCTGTGTCAAAAAGTTCCATCAGAGGTTCTGTTGTTGTTGTTGTTATGTGCCATCGAGTTATTTGCAACTCATAGCGACCCTATGTACAACAGCCCTAAACGGTGCTCTATCCTGTGCCAATCTCATTGCCTCTGACACACCCATCCCGATTACCCCAGTCACTGAATCAATCCACCTCATAGAGGGTCTTCCCCTCCTGCACTGTCCCTCTACTCTACCCAGCAGGATGTCCCTCTCTAAAGACCTGTCTCTCCTTACAACATGTCCAAAGTATGTCAGATGAAGCCCCAGAATCCTTGCCTCCAAGGAGTAGCCTGGTTTAACCTTCTCCAGGATTAATCTGTTTGTTTTCTTGGCAGTCCATGGTACATTCAATACTCTTCTCCAGCACCACAGCTCAAAGGCATCAACTCTCCTTCTATCCTCCCTAGTCATTGTCCAACTCTCTGATGCATAACAAGTGATTGCAAAGACCATGGCCTGTATCAGGCGGACCTTAGTCTCCAGAGAGACACCGTTACTCTTGAGTATTTTAGAGAGGTTCCTAAGAGCAGACTTTCTCATCGCAATACGTTTTTTGATTTCCTGGCTGCTGGTGCCAAGAGTGTTGACTGTGTTGATCGTGGAGCCGAGCAAACTGAAGCTGTGAACAATCTCAACCTCTTCGCCATCCATCCTGATGCTAGCAACTGGTCCAGCGCTGAGAATCTTTGTCTTCTTGACTTTAAGCCTCAGTCCATACTGAAGGCTGCAGTCCTTGACCCTCTGTAGCAAATGCATGAGGTCCTTCTCAGTTTCGGCAAGCAGGATTGTGTCATCTGCATAACGGAGATTGTTAACAGATCTTCCAGCAATCCTGATGCCACACTTCTCCTCATAGAGCCCAGCCTCTTGGATAATCTGCTCTGCATATAGGTTGAAAAGGTATGGAGACAGGACACATCCCTGGTGTATACCCTTCCCAATTTTGAACCATGCGGTGTTACCCTGCTTTGTTCTGACGACTGCCTCTTGGTCCAAGTATAGGTTTTGCATTAGCACAATTAAATGTTCTGGGATTCTCATTCTTCTCAGAGTCAGCCACAGTTTGTATGATCCACACAGTCAAATGCCTTTGCATAATCAATGAAACACGGACATTCTTCTGGTATTTCCTGCTTTCAGCTAAGATCCATCTGACATTAGCTACAATATCCCTAGCACCATGACCCCTTCTAAACCCAGCCTGGACTTCTGGCAATTCTCTGCTGATGTGCTGTTCCAGTCATTTTTGGATAATCTTCAGTAGAATCTTGCTTGCATGTGAACTCAGTGAGATAGTTCTGTAGTTTCTGCACTCAGTTGGGTCACCCTTCTTTGGAATGGGAACAAATATAGATCTCTTCCAGTCAGTTGGCCAAGTGGTTGTTCTCCAGATTTCTTGGCACAACTTGGTGAGCACATCCAGGGCAGCATCTGTTAGCTAAAATATGTCAATTGGTATACCATCTATTCCTGGGGCCTTATTTTTTGCTATTTCCTTCAAGGCAGCTTGAACTTCTTCCTTCATCACCATAGGCTCTTGCTCAAATGTTATTTCATTAAATTCTTCTGTATCTGCCAATTCTTTTTGATACAATGACTCAGTATATTCCTTCCACCTTCTTTTAATACCTCCTGGATCATTTAATATTCTGCCTAAAGCATCCTTGATTATAGCAACTCGAGGTTTGAATTTGTTCTTCAGTTCCTTGAGCTTAAGAAATGCTGAATGAGTTTGGCTCTTTTGATTTTCCGACTCTAGCTCAGGAAATCCATTGATATTGTGTTACTTTTTGGGGGTAGCATCTTGTTTTGGGTTTGTGTAGGGGGTGAGGTAGCCTGCTTCTTTTATGACATTGCTGTGGTAGAGTTTTTCAAGCCTATACTCTTAGCAGGTTCTTGGTCTGAAAACCTCAGTTCAGGAAGTCACTGCTCCAGAGGAGGGCAGGACAACTACCTTGCCTGATTTTCCCTCTGAGCTTTTGACTTAAGGGAAGACTTGATTCAGTTGGGGAGAGATACGGCCTGTTCGTTAGCAGTCTTCTCTATCAGTCAACTGCTGCAGCTAGTCTAGGAGGGTCCAAGGTGCCCAGGGATACAGGCAGCTTCAGCTCCAGGAAGGGAGAGGAAATGGGATCATCTGTGATATTACTGTCTCTGGCACAGTTCAGAGGGGCAGTAGAAGGTAGTCCTCCAGAAGGCAGGGCCAGGTCCTCCAGACAGTGGTGCTGGGCTTCCAGGTGATGTGCACAAGGGCTGCGGGAGCAGGGCTTTTTAGGCAGTGGGGCTGGGACATCCAGGCGGCTGGCAGGAGCATCCAGGCAACTGAGCCAGGTTCTTCAGGCAGCAGGCCCTCAGTCTAGTGCTCTAGGCAGGAGAGCAGTCTAGGCCATTTAGTATGTTTTAATATAGGTACCTAATTAACTGACTGGAACAGATCCATTGCTGCTGAAGACACATGTGGCAGGTGCTGACGTTGTGTGCAACGGCGGCTGACAATGTGTTGAGGGTTTTGTTTTTAAAGATAATATTTTATTACAAGGCTCTCTCTGTTCAAATTCACCACCAGCTCCTTAGGAAAAACATGGGCAATCTCCTCCTGTGTAACTTGCAGTCTCAGAAAGTTCACTACCAACTCATGTGCGTGTGTGTGTATGTGTGTAGCTCTGGTGGCCTTGTGGAAAGGAGCTGTGCTGCAATCCCAAAGGTGCACAGTTCAAACACATCTGGTGCTCTGCAGGAGAGAGATAGGCAATCTCCTTCCATGTGATTCAGGTGTCTCTGAAAACCCACTGGTGGGTCAGCTATGGTCAGTACACAACAAACAACATATATGTTTATTATAATTACATGTTAATATTCTCAACTCTGTGTGTGTGTGTGTGTGTGGGCAACTTTTTCTCATGCCATTTATACAGCCTTTGAAAATCTGCTGGAGGGTCAACTATATGAATCAGTCAAATTTACTATACACAATAACAAAAATACACACATACACACACATGAAGTTGGGACTATTAACATATTCAGTCTGCTATACTTAAACAAGTGGAGTATACTATTTAAGAAACCACTATAAACCTGTGTGGAACTTTTCCTAAAAATTCTTACTCAAGTTTTAGTATTCTAATTCTCAAAAATTTCAAATTAGTGAGCAAACAATTATATTTTTTTCAAGGAGAAAAAGAGAGAGCACTGATAGGCTTGAGTCACACAGAGATTTAGAGGCAGGATCAATTTCTATAAGCTATGTTTTAGATAAGCATTCCACCCAATACATACTTTGTTTTGGGACATTCTGACTGTATTCCTCCAGGAAATGGTCCATGCATTAAGTTTTCTTAAGCAATTATATCCATAGTCATTAAGAAAAATCCAGAGTTTGGGATTCTCCTACTATCCAGGGATAGAGCACAAATTCTCATTCTTCTCCTACCTTTAGTTTCACAGATCATCACGTTACTAAACTCGCTTGCTCCTCCTTCATTGAAGCACTGCATTTTAATATCATAGGAAGTTTCTGGCTGCAGATGACCAATCATGTGCCACTGCTTTAAACCTAGAAAAGAAAAAGATAAGCTTTAAACCTAATGTGACTTAAATGTTAATGTCAATATAAAATATTTTCAAAATTAGATTGGAGTAACTCCTTATCACTATAGTCCTATAGTAGTGTACTCAAATAGGTTGGTGGTATGTTCACTCATGTCAGAACGGACTCATAGCTCACCCTCCAGTGGGTTTTCAGAAGCAGTAAAATCACATGGGAGGAGACTGTCAATCTTTCCCACAGAGCAGCTGGTAGATTCGAACTGTGTGCCTTTGTACTGGCAGTTCAACACCTTAACACTAAGCCAGTAGCACTTATCAGTACTCCATATAGGTATTTTTTAAATGAACTACAGATGAACAACATATCTATTACATAATATGAGAAAAATGGTAAGAAGAATAAATAAATTGAATCAAAATGGTATTTCTTGGTAATGATAATGTACTTAATTTTAAAAATCAGTGGTGACTCAGTCATAAAACACATGTTAGCTTCACACACAGGTAAAAACCCTCAAGTTCTTGGGTCTGTGTTTCCATGGCAAATAAATGCTCTGTTATTCCACGGAAAGCCATATTATGTATCAGATAAGCAAATGGTGTCTTACCAGGAAAACACTCAGATACTATCTCTTCTGAGTCAAAATCTCCAAACTACACAAGTATCTCTAATATAAGAATTCTGTTATCAGTGGCACATAACCAACACTCCATTAAGGAACACTGTAGACTGATCATTCCAATGGAAATCATTCCCTGATTCCATGAACTATGACCAATTTTAATAAACAGGGAAATTGTTTCTAGACTCAACTCTTGAAGCACTACCAATCTTTTGCAACATGTCTTCAAACTATTTCCATGTTTTTTATCAATTCAACTGTATCATCAACTAATTTAAGAATTAATTAAAGGAGGAGAAATGAAACCAAAGTAAATCACAGACACATACACATACACATGTCAAATCCACCTGGCTCACCAGCTTGCTTTCCAATTCAACACAGATAAAAATATTTCCATCTGGAAGCTCAATGCCCATTTGCAAGTCACCTATATAATATGATTCATTCACATAACTTGTATTTTATAAGGAAGAGCAGCTGAATACCTAAGAATCAAAGCTTTAAAAAAAAAAAAGAATCACAGCTTTACTGAGAGGGTCAAGAAGTGAAGAATTCCATTAATTGAATGTTCCACACCAAGAAGTTCAGCAATGTATGGAATACCCAGTTAGTACACTGATCAAATATTAGCTGAAACTGGAACATATCTATATACTGTGTTGCAATCCCAAAGACATGCAGTTTTAATCCAACAGCTGCTCTGCAGAAGGCTGGGCAATCTCCTCCAGTGCGATTTACCACCTCTGCAAACTTGCTGAAGGTATGCTATGAGTCAGTTCTGACTTGACATCATACAACAACAACAGAATAATTACTCCATAACACTAGTGCTAATTAAAATTAGATGTCTAAATGTAGTAAGAGAAAATAATTAAAATAATTGTGTTAGATTAATATTCATTGTTTGAGTATTTTTTTCCCAATGCCTAAAATGGTAAAAAAAAAAATTATTGCTTAACAAACAATTCTCCTCTCCTTCAAAGGGTATTTTAGAAAAGGTAAGGATTTATTTACCACAGCGAGAAACAAAAGCAAAGACTACAGATCAGGATGATTAGTTATTTGAAAGTCATATTATTACCTGACAAGATAAAAACATTCATCACAGAAGCATTTGTATGCTGGAAACATTTATAATTTATCAAAATGTGGAGTGTTGGGGAATGCTGGGAAGGAGGAGGGAGCCTCTGGCCAGGGCAGATCGCCTAGCTCTGGATAAGTGCAAGCCTGTCTGACCCAACAGCCCTTAATACGGGACAGAGAACACTTTTCTTTGCTTGGCTGTGCTCACTTGAGAAAATTTGCCACCTGGGGAAGATGGCTGCCACATCTGTTGAGCTGGGAGTAGTCTGCACTGAGCTGAGGTTCTCCTATCCAATCTGCAAACTCCACATCTACAAATCCACTCCACTGTTTTCCTGTTTACTTGCTTGTATATAAGTGCACTGTAACCTCCAATAAAGTTGAGTCAGCTCTCTGAAGTGCTCTCCAAGTGGTGTGTCTCTGTTGTGCTTACCCCCGTCAGGGTATTGCTGCTCCCCACCAGTAAATGGATAGTGACAGTGGAGTTTAGTTCAGAAGATGGAAAAACTTAATGCTACAATTGGCCTTCTTTTTTTAAATTAATAAAGTTTCAAATTTTATTTGAAAGCTTAAAAAGTTTTAGGGCAACAATTTTAAGTAATTGAAGTTTTTATTTTATAGAAAACACTATGTATAAAGAATGAATGTTTTTTTTGTTCTCCTTGAGAGAACTACAGCTTTCAACTGCCAAAAAAAGAATTTCAAGTACCTAAGTGGGAAAATAAGGAATCAGCCTATTACATGGCATAGTGAAGTCCACATAAACATCTAAATGTTCAGTATATTACCTTTATGAACAAATTCTCTGTAATCCAAAAGGCAAAAATTCACATTTGTAGACAATACTTTCAAGTACAAGTTTTGTTACTTTAGTTCTAAGGAGCTATGCTGCCAACTAGAAAGCAAACAGTTCAAATGCACCAGCTGCTTTGTTGGATAAAGATGGAAAATTTTCTCCTGTGATTTACTGCTTCTCAAAAACCTATTGGAAAGTCAGCTATGAATTGGTTCCAACTTGACAGTAGACAACAGCAACAACAACATGCTTAATATTCACAGCTAAGAAGGCTATAAAAGTTGAAATATCTCACTAGAAGAAAACAAAGAGTTTAAAAATTGCTTACCACTAGAATTTTCCAGAGCATAGAACTAAAAAAAGTACATGGAGAAACAAAGATATATATTAATTATATTTATAATTGCCTTGTTTAGTAGTACTTTGTAAGTTTTTTAACCTCTCAAAAATTTTTTTAAATTAAAAAAAAACTCTGACATTCTAATTCCAGTAACTCAGCTGAACCAAAATGAAGATCTCTTAGTACTGCATAGTACAGTCTCTATTCATTGTTACTGAGCTGATTCTCTTATCAATCACATGTGTGGGTGGGAACATAACAACAGCATGTGTATAAATGACTTGTGCTGGTATTAGTCACTTCTGCCTTCCTGTCAGGTTTAAATTCAGCAGCAGCAAATGGGAATCTCACAACCATCGAGAAAGCCGCAGCAGAGGGGTGCAGTGCACATCTTTAGGAATCAGACTTCTATGCACCGCAGGCAGGAGCCACATGGGAGCATGAACAGCAACAATGGAGTACCACAGGCTGACTGGAGACAGCTGAGCTGGGACTGCTGCCCAAAGAAAGCCAGAACTAGGGGCCTTCGCCCAAGCTTATTGGATGACAGTGGAGTGGGGAGAGGTGAAGATGTGATAACTGGCAGAATTTTTTTAAGACTGACCTAGAGAAGAAGGTTGAAGGGCCTGCCTGACAGGTAGTTCTGACTGAAGAATTTCATCCTGTTTCCAACCTGGATTATAACCTGTTAACATCACACCTTTAATAAACACCATAATCATGAGCGTGCTGCTATGGAATCTCTGTGATGATTACAATGAATTACTGGACCCAGTGAGGGTACTCAAGGAGAGGTTATAATTGGGAGAAGGAGCTTCGGTAAGTGTGTGGAGGGCACACCTGACCTCAGAGAATTTTGTTTTGTTTTATGATGTTCTTGACAGGGACTATTCTCCCTTGTGAAGTTAACAGAGGCCAGATGTTGTCACTTCCACTCTTTTAACAATGGAAATGAAAGTGAGCTTGGCAGGGAGAATTTCTTGTAGGAAGTAGAATTCAAGCATGAAAATGATGCTAGTGCTGGGAGAAAGATGCTAGGCAAGAGGTACTGTCCTGAACAAAGGCCCTGACCTGATGCAAAAAATACCTAGGTGTATAAAAGGAAATGGAAAGAAGGTCCATGTGAAGGTACACAGTGAGAAATGCAGAGGTGCAGGAGATAGACTGAAGGTGTGAGCAGCAGTAGCCAGCCAGTATAGGGCCTGGGCATTAGACACAGAACTTTACATTACATCTTCAATGCCACAGAAAGACAATATTGTAATACCCTTCTCCATCCTGGCTGCTTTTTCTCTATAGGCATTCTAAAATCTTTTCAAAAGATCTTTTTCAAAAAATTCTTTCTAAAAGTGAATAGTATGCTCAAGGAGTGGGCTTTGTAGTCCAAGTCTTCAATAAAATTGTTGGCTTGATATATTTCTTCTCATACATCTATAAATTACAACTGATTTTTACATGCAGGTATAACTCATTAAAATGCAACAGAATATAGAAATGTTTTGCAGATTAATTATCAACAAATCATATCTTCCTCATATTTTTGTAATTAATCACTACTGCAACCAAGATATACAATTCTGTTTTTGTAACTGTCCATTCCTGAGATCAAAAGGTAGAATTCTTCTTATATAATAAACAGGAAAAAGTTCTTTCTCTGGGAAAAATTCAACAGCAATAGCACATATGCCATTTTATTTAATTTCATTTTCATACTCTCTTAACATCAGATGGTATTTTTAAACCATCTCTTCCAAGGACCCTTTACATGAGACTTACCTTCGACAATATCCCTCTTGTAATCACTGTCATTGTCACTATCTGTTGGACGGTAATAGATATAAAATCCTTGAATGGGAGTGTTATTATTACTTGCTGGAATGTACTGGGGAGGAAAAACAACAGAAGCAAAGGATTGTCAAAGACAAAAAATAGAACTTTCATATCCTTTAAGATTGATTTATCTTTGTGATAAGCCTTTTAACAAACATCATTGATTACCATTTTTTATTTACTCAAGCTATTAAAAAGTATTAGGAATATTAACTCACTGCAGAGTTGAGCAAAGCAAAGCAACACACTCTGCTAGTTCTAAAAGTACAAAATTACATTTGGTTCAAAGTTAATAAATCATGAAGTGATAGTATTTGGATGAAAGCCAAACAGAAATAACTTTCTTTCTAACCCTGTCTCATTTATAGTATGTGTTTTTAGACAAATAGTTGTGCCCTTCAGTCCTCTTTCAAGTTAAAGTTCAAAAACTTGTTTCTGATAGTTTTGTATCATGAGGATAGTAAACTTATTTTTAACATAAACCAGAACAAATTCTAATTAGAGAAGATATTTCACTCACTGTCCACTTCAGCATGATCTCTGTATCACTGACCGCTTCAGTGTATGCAATGTGAGGCCCAGTTATTGGTCGATTCGAAAAACGGTTAGAGCGCCCAGTCACCTGATAAGGTCGAGAAGCCAAACTCTGAAAACTCTCACCATAATGATTGATGGCAATGACCCTGAATTTGTATGTTGAACCTTTTGGGGGGGGGGGGGAACATATAAACTTTTTTAAATGGCAGGAAGGCAACTGAAGGTATTAAAAATGACAGTCATGTTTATATATCTACCTAAAATAATAAGAACATATTTCTAAAACTTTATGCTAACTAGATTTCAACTTACTTCCAATTTCAATCTCATTAGTGGTAGCTGTACAACGTACTGTGTGTTAGGATTCCAAGATTATAGGAGCACTTTGTCTAGTAGGGAAAGACTACTATGAAGAATTAGTGATGTATTTCAGAGAACCAGGTAGCCAACAGGAAACAGTGATAGCATATTTTCTCTTTGACTGTATGGATCACAACAAACTATGGCTGACTCTGAGATTAATGGGAATCCCTGAACACTTAATGTGCTCATGCAAAACATATACTTGGACCCGGGAAGAACAACAGTCAGCCACCCACCGTGGAACTCCAGAGAAGCAAAGACCGTGAGACCCCAGAGGAGCGAAGACTACCCGCCACTGTGTGACCCCCCTGAAGCCTGCACCTGTGTAACCCCCAACACACAGGGTGCTGCTGCATAAACCCCCAGCAGCGCCCAAGCTCCGCCACCACCTCTTGGTGATAGTGTCCAAGCCCTGCGTTCCTTACCCCCTAGTCCCTTGCTTTCCTCCCCTTCCCCCGCCCCCCTTGAAGCTCCACAACCATGCACCTCAGCCCCAACCACAGCCCTGTGACCTCAGGGCACCACCGTGGATCCAGCCATCACCTGGAGCTATCAGCCGAGCTCTTGTGGAACTAACCTGGCAGGAGAAAGGCCGGTAGGATTGTATCTGTGTTTACAGGGGCATGGCTGATTACCTGGGAGAGCACCTAAGGGCGTGCCCACAGGTGGGGAATTTGGCCAAGAGCTCTCTTGGGCTGTACCAACTGCCCAAAACGAGCCAGCCAGCTGGCTTCTGTGAACTCTGCAGACCAGCCAGAGGCTAGTGGGTTGGTGGGAATCTGACCTTGACTTTTCGGATCCTGTCGGATCCAGGACCCTGCTGTAGCAGGGGCTATTGTGTGAGGGCACCTGCATAAGTGCCACCAGGCAGGGAACACTGAGAAAACCACTGGGTAGGAAACGGACAGCAGGAATTTGAGTAGGGACTCCAATCATGAGCAAACTGAGACAGCAGAGGTTTGAGCAAGGTCCTCCAAGTGATTGACCTGCCCTTGCGATCACCCAACCCTTTGCCTGCCTCACCCCATTTGGCTCCACACCAGTGCTTACACATCTGGGCAATCAACTTGCCTTTAAACGGGAGCACCTTGACCTGTTTTAGCAACAAGAGATTGCCCTAGCAGGCGCTGAACTGGCATTTTTCTGAAGTCATAAAGTCAGAGAAACGCACAAGTTCGGTAGCTGCCCATCTGATCTCAAGAGCATTGTCTTCAGATCAAGAACACATACCAATGTCTCGAAGAAAGCAAACTATCCCACACAATATACAAGAGCAAAGCAAGATGTCACTCACAAAGGGCGACACAAGAGCAGCCTATGCCCTGAAACTAGAAAGTCTCATGGAACTTTCTGACACAGAATTTAAAAGAGGAGTGATTGAATATATCCAATAGATGAAAGACAAACTTGATGAATTACAGGATGTTACAAGCAAAGACCAGGAGGACTTAAAAAAAAAAACAATGCAAAACATTGCAGGGAAAACAAATAAGGCATTAGCGGCACTGGAAAAACAAGAACCCACCATTCAAAATATAAGCTCCAATGTTTCAGAGGCTGTCAACATGATGGAGGGACATATGAGCAGAGTTGATGAGATGGAACACAGAATCAGTGAAATTGAAGGCAAAATTGTCACCACTGATCTGCTAGAGCAAAAAGCAGACTCCAAAAAGAAGGAAAAAGAAGAAAACCTAAGAATAATGTGGGACACCATCAAGAAAAATAACATACGCATCACTGGAATCCCAGAAAAGGAAGAAGCAAGTAAATGCACTGAAAAAGTTCTGGAAGAATTACCAGAGGAAAACTTCCCAGACATAATGAAGAATCAGAGAATATATATTCAGGAAGCTCAGCGAACACCATATAGATTCGACCCCAAAAGAAAAACATCAAGGCATATCACAGTTAAATTTGCCAGAACTAAGGATAAGGAGAGAATCCTGAAAGCAGCAAGGGAGAAACAAAGAGTAACCTATAAGGGAGAACAGATAAGATTAAGTGCCGATTTCTCAGCAGAAACCACGGAGGCAAGAAGAGAGTGAAAAGACATATATCAAACAGTCAAAGAACACAACTGTCAACCAAAAACACTGTACCCAGCAAAATTATCCATCAAATATGAAGGACAGATCAAGATATTCCCAGAAAAACAAAACCTAAGAGAGTTTGTAAAAACAAGACCTGCACTGCAGGAGAGACTCAGAAATGTCCTTCTTACAGATATACCACAGAAAGCTCCATGGTCCAAAGTAACTAGCAACAACACCAAAAAGAACTCAACACAATGATAGCAATAAAACCTAGCCTTTCAACAGTCACACTGAACGTGAATGGTTTAAATGCACC